CACTTCCTCCATTTTCCTCTCAGGATTTTGGGCATACATATACACACACCTGGAGTGATTTTCAAGCCACTGGGTCTAGGACTTGAACCGTGGTCAGCCTTGTAGGAATCCAGCCACTTTCCCACCACTCCACTTGTTGGCCCTCAGTTTCTCTCTTTTTCTTTTTTTTTTTTAATTGCCAGAGGGTGTAAGTATTTCCCAGAGAAAAAGAGAGGGAGAAAACAACTGAGTGTGGCCACTCCACAGTCCCTTATCCATTTCTCCATTGTGTCAGGATCCATACACATGAGTCCCACATGTTTTTGAAGCTGCTGGGGATGGGATTTGAATTGCTGTCAGCTATGTATGATCTGGCTCCCTTAACCATTAACCCATAGGGCCAGCCCAAGGAAGTGATGGATTTCATATTGCTTCCCATCATTAGAGTATCTTGTAGTTTGGGAATCTACCTTCTTTAAAATGTGAAATGTTTAGGAAGTTAATTGCTGCCTCCTTAATTTTGTTTGTTTATTTTAAGTGACTTTTGTACTTTTGCTCCCTGGACTAAACCAACACGGGATCATTTCGAAGTACATTGGAATGGCTAAAAGAGAGATAAACAAGCTTCTCAAACAAAAGGAAAAGAAAAATGAATAACCATCTGCTCTGTTCAGTGTGATTAATGGAGTCTACATTGTCCCTGGGAAGTTTCTCCTATGATCTCCAGATACTAAAATGTTACATAAGTAACTCTTTGCTCTCCTTCCTACTGTCTTTAGTTGATAGAGTCAGACTTAGCCACCTAAGGCTTTCTACAGTCTTTGTGTCAAGTGTAGCTGGGTGCATCCCCATCCTTGGCCTCATGGACCAACTCATTACTGAATATAACTTGTTTTGATTTTTCTCACCCTGGGTCAATTGAACTCTTTGTTTTAGATAACTTCCTTTAAGATACTATAGTGGTGACCTTTATGTAGTATAGTGAACAGTGACTTTCGGTAACTGTTGGAGTGCTTTAGCTGGGTACTTAGCAGTGATGTGGCTATAGGAAGCTGCTTCTACTGTCTGCTTAAAAAGCTGTATGGCTTCGTGAATGTAGAGACCAAGTTTACCACTTCTGATGAAGCGACCAGTGAAGATTCATTCCTCTTTCTGTTTCTTGAGCATGGGAGAAATTCCCATGGAATAAAGTGAAGCAAATTCCATGCCCTGGTATGTAGAATTTACTTCTCCCTTGTGCAGAATTTAGCAATTCATCGTAAACATTGACCTTTTCTCCCAAATGGGGAATCTGATAGGCTTATAGAGCTATGGACTCCTTGGATTTAGACTTCAAATTAGTTCATCCTTACAGGCTTACAAAAGATTGTATTTAGGATTTTTAGCATATTTTAAAATTCAGGTTCTCAGCCGACTTTAAAATACATACTAATAGGCTAAGACTTGTCCATGACCTTTACTCCAAGACCAGCCAGTAAAGGGCAAAAATTTTCCTGTGTTTAGTTAAGATTCATTTCAGTAGAAAATAAATTTAGGGCCAGCCCATGGATTTATCTACTAATTTTTGAGACCAGAATAAGCCTTTAAACGTAAGCCTCACAGTTGTCATTTTGTGGCCATACTGGCCATTTTGGTCCTCATACTTTAGGTATAGGAAATAGTGACTACAGTGGTGTCTGACTTTTCCCCTAGATTTTTCTCTGAAAATGCCAAGGGCTGTTGGTGAGAGCGGATTTGCAGTGACAGTTGGGCTCTGATCTATGTCGATTTTGTAACTCCTTGGAAAGCTTCTTGTTATCCTTCTTTCCCTTTCAGTAGCTAGAAATTTATAGTAGTTGAAATCTGTAGGAATGAACCTCTGAGGGCCAAAAATGTGACATATTCGGGAACAATTCTTAAACTTATGAACCAACTGTAATATAGTTTTGTGAATTTATTGCACTGATACTGTAAAACTTGTACCTTGTGGTATATCTGTCCCTATATAAGTGTTGTTTTCTCCCCTTCAATATTGTTGTAAGTGGTGGTTCCCATTGTAGTGTGTGATTTTTTTTTTTATGTTTCATAAGAAAACTACCTTAATTTTACATGTTTCCTCATTGTAAATAAGCCTGTCTTCCTAACCAGATTTTTTTTGTGTGTGAATACATGTTCTACTAATTAACTACTTTTCGAATTTTAATCCTGTGTTAGTTCTTCTATTTTTTTGTGTGTAAAAGAGGAAAAATTAAAAAAAGCTGGAATCTCCTTGCGTGTCCCACTTTCTTTGTAATTTAGCCAATACACTGCATGATTGGATTTCTCAGTCTGATTCATGTATGACTTGTCGGCCTAAGAAACCCTGGAGCCAAGTATATAAAGCATGAGGAGTTTATATGGACCAGGGTACAGGATGCTGCCCAGGCACCACAATATCCAAAAAGGCCCTGGAATATGTCTTCAATGTTTTCAGGATGATTTTAAAGGCAAAAACCAGAGGGGAGAGAGGATTACATCATTTTGGGGGGTGGGGATTAGGCAAACTGAGGCACCCTTTGTTATTGGCAACACTGTTCCCGGTAGACTGGACAGATGTCCTGTGCAGTGGTGATTCTGGTGACAAAACTGTTAGCACATTTATGTGAGAAACGCCCTCTCTGTGGCCTTCCCTGACTCCGCTTAGCCAGAACTTAACATAAGTAGACACAAATGACTGTTGTTTATAAGAGCTTTCACTCCTGTGGGATGGTTATATACCTGTAAGGGCGGGCTTGGCGCAGAGGAGGGAAAGTGGGAATGCATGTGCGTGTGCACACACACACACACACAATGCTCATGCCATAAAAGGCAAAAACCAGAGGGGAGAGAGGATTACATCATTTTGGGGGGTGGGGATTAGGCAAACTGAGGCACCCTTTGTTATTGGCAACACTGTTCCCGGTAGACTGGACAGATGTCCTGTGCAGTGGTGATTCTGGTGACAAAACTGTTAGCACATTTATGTGAGAAACGCCCTCTCTGTGGCCTTCCCTGACTCCGCTTAGCCAGAACTTAACATAAGTAGACACAAATGACTGTTGTTTATAAGAGCTTTCACTCCTGTGGGATGGTTATATACCTGTAAGGGTGGGCTTGGCGCAGAGGAGGGAAAGTGGGAATGCATGTGCGTGTGCACACACACACACAATGCTCATGCCATAAATCCATTCTCCACTTTGCCCTCCTTAGAGGATTCTGGATGCACATGTGCACACACACACCTGGCCTGTTACTCAAGCTGCCAAGTTTGGGGCTTTAACCAAGGGGTCAGCCATGTGGGATCCAGCACCCTTAACCACTATGCCACACACTGGCCCACCTACTGCTCTGAAATGCTGGTCTTTTTCCCATTCACTTGGGATCACTTTCCAGTTCTCACTTGGCTGGCTTCCTCTCCCAGCCAGCTTGGCTCCTTTAAAGCCGGGCTCCTGCAGGGCTATCCCTGTGCCAACTCTGACTACAGCAAAAGTTCCATTTCAACATTTTCTCTGGCATGACCTTCAGCAGAGATCCTTTCATGTCAAAGATCACAGGGGAGGAGATTATTTGTATTGAGCTGTGCCAAGAGTCAAAGAATTTGGCTCTGTGTGTGGTGATTATTTTGAGAGAGGGACACCCCCAAAATGGTCTTCACACTGCAGTCCACCCTCAGTCTCGGATGGCCCACATCATGGGTGTGAGCACCCTAACCCTTTAAAAACATCTCTGGACACAAACCTAGGTCTTTCCCATGTGGGTCCAGTTACACTACCACTGTGCTTCCCATCTGGCCACTGACAGGTGATTTTTTAGAAAAAAAATTTTTTTTTTTTTTGTGAGGTTTTTGCTATGGGGCACGTGCGCTTACCAGAGAGACAGAGACAGAAAGTGAGAAATCACCCCCCCAGGGGGGATGGCTACACTGCAATCCCTTCTCCATTCTCCTCTTGGGATCTTGGGCGCACATGCGCCCGGTGTGAGTTTAAGTCACTGGCTCCGGGACTTGAACTGCAGTTGACTACAAGAATTTTTTAAAAATTTTGTGTTTTAGTTTTTGCCACCGTACAGGTGTGCTTGCCAGAGAGAAGAGAGGGAAAGACAACAAGAATCACCCACCAGAGAGAATGGTCATGCTGCAATCCCTTCTCTGTTCTCTCGGGATTTGGGGCACACACTGCACATGTGCTGGGCACGTTTTTCAAGCCTCCAGGTCCAGGACTCAAACCACAAAATCAGCCATGTGGGATCCAGCTATCCTAACCTCTGTGCCACTTACCCTTAAGAGGTGATTTAATGCTGACGGTTCATCTTCCACGTATTACTATTTGGATAGTTCATCATGATCTGTCCTGTTTGAAGACCTCTAGGCAGGTTCCAGATTACCTACAGTGTGTGTCACAAACTTGTGAATAAATTTATACATGGCCCTTTGCTCCATTTCCACTGCATTCTATTTCCCCATTCCAACCCAGCTTCCTAATGTTTCTATCCATCTCCATGCCCTCAAAGCTTTTTAAAAAGGTTTATTTCTTCCACAAATGAGAGAGAGAGGGAGCATACAACAGGCACCCCCAACAGGGTCTTGATCCTGCAACCCACTCCTCGGCCAGCCCTACATTATGGGCACATGTATGCCTGGCGTATTCAGAGAGGTCTCCAGAGGTTTCAGATTTGCCTCTGGAAGCTTCTTATGTAGGTCATTCTTGACAGCATTTTACTGCTGTGCCACTGTCTGCCACCCCAGTTGACCAATGTTTTAGAGTGAGTCTGTTAAAAGCTTAGTATTGCATTTTACCACCATCCCACCATCCCAACCCTTGTGCTATTTAGAAGTCTGTCTCACCTACTGGGACCTGACCCTGTTAAGGGCAGGAACTGATAGTTTTGCCTCCTCAGCATCTGATAGAACACATGGCTCCTAGCAGGTACTCATTGGATGTTTGTTGAATGCATGAATAGATAAAGGACCGATTTAAAAGAGTATCTTTGATTCCTTTGGAAAAGTAACACACACGTTTGACCAAGAAAACAAAACGGGGATCAGCAGATGGCATAGCTGTTACCTTGCTGGACTCCTACCTGGGGGTCCACAGTTTGAGCTCCTGACCAGGTGGCTTGAAACTCACACTGGGCATGTATGCACACATGCCCAAGATCTGGGAAGGAGAATGGGGAAGGAATTGTGTTGTAGCCATCCCCAGGGGGTGGGGTGATTTCTTACTTTCCTCTCATGGTCTCTGTCTCTCTCTCCAGCGAACACACGCGCCCTAAAGCAAAAATCCCTACCACAAACAATCAAACAAACTGTATCAAGTAAGGCAAGTTTTTTTTTTTTTAAATCACAGCTACTAACACTTTTCCCAAAGCCAATCAATTATTTCTTGCGGGTTTTTCCAGAGATACTATTAACACTCAAATATCGAAATTTATTCTAGATGTCAAACTGTTATTGCAATAAAAAATTAGCAAATATCTAGTTCCCAGTTGCCGAGTTTTAAGTTTTTTTTGCACTAAGATACCTGAACTTCCAATTAATGCCTCTCAAATCCTCCAGCCTCACCTAATCGATTCCATCGACTCTCAACTGCCAACCTCTGAGAAGACTCCGCCCCTTCACCTCCTTCCACTAGGCGGTCATTTTGTTGGCCTGCTTTTGAAAGTCTCGCGATACCCGGGCCACTTCCCATAACTCCGTTCGCTCGCCCCTCCCGTTCTCTTTCCGCCATCTTTCTGTGCCGGTAAGTATCTCAGAGTGAGAGCTCCAGCATCATCTGTCAGTTATCGCCACCATCCTTCAGCCTGAGGCCCGGCTTCGGTGTCCTACGAGGGCGCCGAGGTCTTCTTGGGCCGGGGATCCTGGCCTCGCAGGGACCGGGCCTGGCGTAAAGGAGAGCCATGCCCGGGAGCCTCACGCTTTGCACTCTGGGGAGTTGGGCCGGTGGCGGTGCAGGCCGCAGCGATGGCGGGGGACTGGCGGGAGCGGGACTTTGGAACGCCAGGAGAGGCGGTAGCCCCAGCTTGTTCCATGGCCTGGACAGTTCCTTAGCAGCCGAGATAGCGATTTGGGTCTGGGCGGCGGGAAGCATGGAGGACGGTGGCCGGGATGGGCCGTGCTGCGAGTTTGCGCGACTGAAACAGCCCAGGAGGCATATCTCCTGTTGCCAGGTTTGGCAGTTTGCTGGGAACTAACGTAGATCTTCTGGGCTCCTGAGTTGGCGCCTCAGACAGTTAAACTTAGGGAAGCGGGTTGGATATTTACTGGTAGTACTTGGTCCTTTCCTTAGCTTCCAGAACTTTTCAGTGTGTCGTGTAGTTTTGTCCATCGGAGAAGCGTACCTGTCTGGTGGCATGTAAAATCAGTGTTTTTCCGTTTGCCACTGTGGCATGCTTGCTCTTGGACACAAACTTAGATGGCACAAAGGCGGAAGTTTTAGTTTAATATTGTCTAGTGAATTTTGTCTCACTTCTCAGTGTCTGCAGCCGTTAGCATGCTGTACAATTAGAAGAGTGCTTAGTGAATGAGGCTCAAAATGTGCAGGCTGACATCCTGATTACATTCTCAACAATTGTAGTAAATGATGAGTTTTCCAGGGTGCTGTACATTCTGAAGAGCCAGCCGGTTTTAGGATAACTTCGTGTGTGTTGTGGGGGTTCTCTGTGCAATGATTGGGTGTGTTAATTTAGCAGTTCCAGTAAATCTGCTTTGTGTTCCCTGAACAGCCATAATGGTGCGCATGAATGTCCTGGCTGATGCCCTCAAGAGCATCAACAATGCTGAAAAGAGAGGCAAACGCCAGGTTCTTATTAGGCCGTGCTCCAAAGTCATTGTCCGGTTCCTGACTGTGATGATGAAGCATGGTAAGTGTGTTGCTGTGTTTTGATGTCAGACTACTTGAGGAAATCTGTCCTGTAGAAATTGATTACTGGGGAGCAGAGTGTGTCAGCCATACGTGGGAACTAACGCAGTTGATCTGTGGGACTGTGGAGGAGGGGATAGTCTGTACAGATGTACTACTGAAGAATCACTGAGAATGGTTGGACTTATTGAAAAAGGGAAGCAGCTTCTGTTTGCTGCCTTGGAAGGTGTTTGGGAGCTGAGTGACAGGAACCCTTTTCTGGAATGGCTCCTCAGCTTTTCCAAGAGACTGGGATGGAGAGGAAGGATTGTTGCAGTTTTGGGTGACAAACTACCATTGGGAGTTAAGCTATAAGGGAGAAATAATTCCTTTTAGGGTTGTAGGGTGGTTTTT